AATCTTTAATATGATCGACCTAAGAACTTAATGGCAGGTGCTGTTAGCTGCCTCCTGATTGATCAGTTAACTGTGGCTACCAACCTGTTTTGGGCTCCGTCTGCTGTGTGTGGGTTTGTTTTCTGTGTCCTGATTGGCTGTTCTTTGACCCCGTGACAGCTCCTCTGACTCCAGCAGGTACCTGATTGGTGGGCCGACCATCGTCCTCCTCAGCCTCTGAGGCTCCTCCTTCTTCTCGTCTCCCTTTCTTCTGCCCTTTTCAACGTGACTTATGTCTTTAACTTTAGCGTCAAGCCTGTCAATCATCTCTGAAGCCCCGCCCCCAGCCTCACAGAGGCCAACAGCATCTGATCTTTCTCTCCTTCTTGTGTGTTTGGTAGCTGCCTTCTGATTGGTCTGATTGGCTGTTCCACAACCCCGTGTTGTCTCCTCTGACTCCAGCAGGTACCTGATTGGTGGACTGACCGTCTTTCCTGGTCTCTGAGGCTCCTCCTCTTCCTGTCTTCCTCCCGTTGAGACCATGTGACCTGTGTCTTTATCTCCAATGTCAGAACAGTCAGTCATCTTTGAAGCCCCGCCTCCAACAGAGTCTTTTGATCTTCCTCTCCTCCTTGTGTGTTTGTTAGCTGCCTTCTGATTGGTCTGATTGGCTGTTCCACAACCCCGTGTTGCCTCCTCTGACTCCAGCAGGTACCTGATTGGTGGGCCAACCATCGTCCTCCTCGGCCTTTGAGGCTCCTCCTCCTTCTCCACACAGACTTGTTGCGCCTCCCTTTCTTCGTCGTCCTCCACTCTGCTCCTCTTTGTCCCCCTCCTTCCATTCCCTCTCCTGTTCAGGGTCCAGTAGTCGACCAACCAGCTGGGACGTGTTCTCGCACGGTTTATGTCTCTTGACCAATAAGGAGCCTCGGTGGGTGCTGTGAGGAGGGGCTTCCTGGGCCTCTGAGGCTCCTCCTCCTTGTCATCCTGGGTGGTCTGTTTTTCCCGTTTGTTTTTAGGAGCTTGGGCGTTGCTCAGGGCCGCCCCACAGCCGTTGCTGTAGCGACCACCTATATTGCTGTGGTGCTGATCGCATTGGTGCAGGAACAGCCTGCGGGCACAGCTGAACTTCCTGTTGCAGAGGTGACAGCCGAAAGGTCGCTTTGGTCTGTGGACGGACGGGTGGAGGGCAGACGCCTGCAGAGGGGAAAGGTCAGACAAAGGTCAGGTTGGGTTAATTAAAGCTAAAGACAAAAGGGGCAGAAAAGTCTGGCTAAAGGTCGG